AGAGATAAACTTGATCTTTCAAAAGATATTGGTGACTTCAAATCTCCTTGTATTTACATGACTTTGGCTCAAACTTGATCTAGGACAGAAATCCCTAAGGTAAATTCCCTAGCATTCTAATTCTCTGGAATATTAAGATTATGTATGAAAAAAGAGTTCTGTGGTCAAATATTTGAAAGACTTGTATTAACCATAATTTTAACTTCTATAAATTGATGTTTTGAAATCTACAAAATGGCCACTAGCTGTTCCCAGGTAAGCCCTTGTCCACTCCAAAACATCTGGAGATTTTAGATAGCCCTTGCTGTAATAATAACAGTGAACATGAATTTCATGGGTGCTGCCTTCAAACATGGCTAGCCTGTCCTAAGTCTGCCTATGTTGCCTCACCCATTCCTCCTCATGGGAACCATAATAAATGTTCTACTTTCTCTCTCTCTTTCTGCCTCATGACTGACCCTGGTCCTTCTTGTGAATGACCCTGCATGGCATGTCCCTGCATACTCCAGAGAACTGTGAGTATAATAAAACTGTGAAACTCTTTCTGATTTCTCCCTTTGGTCTGTGTCTAGCCTCACTATAGCTCACTAAACTTAATATGGTTAAAACAAAACTGTGGATTAGGAAAACATGCACATATTTATTTATTGCAGTACTCTCAGAGATGTTAATATGTAAATGTGTAAAGTGTCACTGTCAGACTTATTTACTTTGAAATCTGTTTTTGAGCAGAGTGTTTTGTGTAACCAGCATTTCTAGGATTCCCTTTGAGAGGTGCTGTTCTGGAGAGATACTAATTATCCATGTAGGAGACCTGGGGTGTCAATAAGTATTGTACGAAGATAAAAATGCACTGTCATGATTGTGAAATTACATCAAACGTTATAGTCTAGGGAAAGCCCAACTTCCCTACAAAAATTAAACTGTGGACTTTTCCTTCATCAAGGATTTGGCACACAGATATTGAATGATAATATCTGAATGAACTTACGTAGTTTGTGGAGTCCATACATTTAAAAATCCATATGTCTTTTGCGCTTCCTAATCTTTGAAAAAATTTTTTTGTGCATAAGACAAGTGCTTACTGGATGTCTTCTCTCGTATAGTGATTAGGTATCTCAAACTAAATCTGTCCAAAGAGAACTGGTGATCTGATTCCCATTCTACTTCTCAAGTGGTGTTTCCATCCACTCATGCACTCACGCCAGACACTCAGGAATCTAAGAGTCTCCTCCTTTTCCCTTACTGCGGTATCCACCCAAAGCCCATCAAGCACAGCATTTCGGCATGTCTCAAATCGCATACATCCTTTCTATCTCCAATACTGGTCTGAGTCCATATCCTCATCATTTCATATCGCAGTCATTTTCATGTTGTCTTCACTAGGGTTCCTTTCCCTAATCTTTGCCCTTCCCAATTCTTCCCTTCATACTGATGCCAACATAATTTTTGTAAAGTACATTCCTGATTATGTTCTTCTCTTTTTGTAAATTACCTGCCAATTGATTTGCCATTGTACTATACAAACTAATACTCTTTCATACCTATTTTTTTACTCTCTCATCCATGCTTGCTTTTCCAATCTTCTCTGGGTGTCTGCCTCTAGCACAGGACACAATTCAGCTTAATCTAGTTGGGATATGTCTTGGTGCTTTTTCACCTTTTGCCTGGGACCACCTCATGTTCACGCCAGCTACCCGATAAATATCTGTTCATCTTTCAAGACTGAGCTCAAGAATGTCTTTCTCTATGAACACTTTCCTGATTTCTTTTCTTTCTTTACCCACTATACACTCTACAGAGTTTTACTATACTTATTTGTTCACGTTTGCTTTTGCCTCCTAGTTGACAAGGTTGTAGAGGTAAAATATAGTGTATGACTCATCGTAAAATTTCCAAAGCCTGACATAAGCACTTGATACATTCAAGAGTGTTTTAAAAATGAGTATTTAGTGAAAGGACCACCATTTTCTTTTGTGCATAAAATAATATAAATTAGATACTGC